AAACCTGAACGTGGACGGATCCATTTCCGAGGCATAATCCGGGTCAGCAGGAGGTAAGCTGCCAAGGCCGCTCGCACCACACCAGGTTGGATGCGATAAGCCGAAAACCTCCAGAAGGACGAAACCGACGTACCCGGGGGAACACAGAACCGAACCCGGGGAGGGGCCGACACCAAATCCAACTCGTACGCAGAGGGGGGAAAAGAAAACCCCACTCCTTGTAACAATAAGCCCCGCTCAGTGGGAAGAAAAACCCCGGCGGGGTCCAGCGGGGCCCAAGGCCCCCAAGTCAGCCCCTCCCCAGCCTCGAGGTCCTGCACCACAGGACCCGAGGCCGAGTCCTCTCCCCAAGCCCCGACCCCACAAGACAAGGACGGAGCAGTCGGAAAAGCTGGAGGAAGGGGGGCCCACTGGTCAGACCCTGAAGCTTCGACCGGGAGACAAGACTCGAATGCCTCTGCCGCCCCCCCGGAAGGGGCAACCCCCGAAGCTGCCCGAGTCTCGAGATCAAGTAACCCCTGCTCCGACCCCGAAACCCTCAGACGCTTCGGGGCCGGAAGCAGGGGCGGGGGACCAGAACGAACAGAAGGGGAAGGACGAGGAGGTGCGGACTGAACCAGGATCGAAGAAACCCCCACCCCCAAGTCCGGGTCTCGAAAAGCAAAGCGGGGCAGCCCCGGGGCATCCGGGGAAGCAACCAACCGAGCGTGTTGCAACAGACGAAACCTAGACTGCAACGCACGCGCCGCCTGTACCCGAATAGAATCATCAGAGGATTGGGTAAATCGAGTCACAAGCAAGCAGCAACACACTCAGGACTCAGGGTCGAAAGTATCACCGACCCAACAGGCAGCGTGGCAGAGGCAAAAACAATGAGGGTCACCCTGAGACAAGGGGACCGAGCAACCCTCAAACTCGCACACAGCGAGTGGGGACTCCGGGGTCACATCCATCGGACCCACGCGCCCCCTAGGGGATTCCCAGGGTCCTGAGCGTTTACTTTAAGAGGACTCGCGCTCAGGTAGTCCCAGGTAGGGTACTGCAAACCGGCGCCCAAAACTACCAAGCAAACTTCTAAAACTGAACCCCAGGGACGTGTACACTCACGAGGACCTAGCAGGGGGCGCCACCGAGGAGAACAGTGGAAGGGCAAAAACAAACTGAATAAAATGACAGAATCCCACCAGGCAAAAACAAAAAGAAAAACCCCGCAAGAGGACAGCGAACCCCAAGGAACAGAGCCGGCCGCGATGTCGGGAAATACAAGCTGAGCAGCACCCTGCGCCCCTACCAGTGCAAACTGCCTCTTACCTGCCGGTAACAAGGGAGAACAGAACACCCAAGAGCCCAACAGGCGGCCGAAAAACCGAAAGGTAAAACGGACCGGCAGAGGCAGACCCCGAGGAGCCTGTGGAAGGTGGCCTCAAGCCCCAAGGGCAGTACTTACAGGGCACCTAGGGAAGGTAGCCCTAGGCGCATGCAGCCCGAGTACTGAAGATAACTCCTGGCTCTCGCACCCACAAAACCAACACCACACGCAAAGCACAGTGCAGTAGCGACACCGGAGCCAGAGCACACGACCATCGCCTATAGTATCAGCCTCAAGAACTGAGGTGTGGGTAGCCGGCGCGGGGGGTCTGGGGCTCCCCCTTCCCCCTCCCGGGGAGGGGGGAGCTGCGCAGACAGCGGCGCGGCGGTGTGTGACGTCACACTAGTTTGCTTGTTTTCGGTTGGGGAGTTCTATCCACTAGTTCGGTTTTTGGTAGCAATTTTAACCAGAATAGGGGTTTGTTTTGGGGCGCTTACCTTTCTGGGTGCCTGTTCCGGTCGATGGCAGACATAGAATGCTTCCAACTACACGGGGGCTTCTATAGGCCATTGCTCCCCTTGCCTCTCTGAGGGGGCCCGGTTCTGGCCGTGGTCCCCGGTAGGCCTAAGAACTCCATACACATGACTGATGCCAAAGTCTGACATTAGCATATCAGCCTGGGATAGCTCCGGGGAGCCGACGGGGCTCCCCCCAGAAAGAGCAATAAAATGGGTATTCTGTTTTCAACATTGTTACCTCAATTCTGGTCCTAGGACTTTAATTTTGGTATTAATGTATTCGCAATGAAATTCCCTACAAGAGTATATGCATATAATGTCCAAAACCGCAGCAAGACCTTCCCCAAAAAAATGCTACTGTTGCCGCGCTTAGGACTCGATACCGAGTCCTCGCCGGACTTGCCCCTATTTTACGGAGGACTCAAAGCCAAGTTATCGCCGGGCGAAAGTGTTAAAATTACTTTTCTAGACTGGCTCCATTAAAAGCTACCTGGACCTTGAATGCTGGTACTGTTAAGCATTCAGACTGTACCAGGCAACAAGTTACTAACACAGGCCTATTAGGAACTAGGACCAGAATCTAGTACACCTCAATGAGGCCAGAATACATACAGTATACTGTACTGGCAGCCCTTGATATGTGCAACATTGGAGAATGTGGGTTCATTAGTACAGTATTCAAGTAAGAATTTCATCAAAAGTTTAGAACCAAGATAAAGAATTTATGAAGTACTGTAGACAATGCAGACTAACATGGATTAGCCCAAATCCACACTAATACGCTGAAATTTCTTGTTCTTGAATGTGTTGGACTCACACTCGTGATACATTATTGTGCTTTACATTGAATTTATATTCTTACATCACTGTAAATCCCAAGCATTCAAGATGTCATTGTGTGCTATATTTGTGGCAAGAAAGTGCAAAGAATATTAAATAATACAATAATTAGTAAATAGATTTTTAATAAAGTAATTACTTAAGTGCAGTTACAGGATGAGAGCTACGCTCGTGGTGTCCCATCTCCCCAGTACAATGTCATATAACGCTTTGAAATTACTAACGGTTTTGACCTCTCCACCCTCTCACCTAACTTGTTCCAACCGTCTACCACTGTTTACAAAAGTGAATTTTCTTATATTTTTCCGGCAGCTTTGTTTCGATAGTTTAAATCTATGACCTTGTTCTTGAAGTTCCAGGTCTCGGGAATTCTTCCCTATCAATTTTATCGATTCTTGCTACTATTTTGTATGTAGTCATCATATCGCCTCTTTTTCTTCTATATTCTAGTTTTGGCATATTTAATGCCTCTAACCTCTACTCGTAGCTATTGTCCATCAGTTCTGGGAGTCAATTAGTGGCATGTCTTTCCACCTTTTCCAGTTTGTTGATGTGCTTCTTAAGATATGGGCACCATACAACTGCTGCATATTCCAGCTTTGGTCTAACAAAAGTCATGAACAATTTCTTTAGTATTTCTCCATCCATGTATTTAAAAGCAATTTTGAAGTTAGAAAGTGTATCATAGGCTCCTCGCACAAAGTTTTTAATGAGGTCCTCAGGTGACAGTTTTTAATCTAGAACCACCCCTAGATCTCTTTCTTTATCATAATTTTTTAAAGATTTCTCACATAATTTATAGGTTGTGTGGGGTCTATGTTCTCCTGTTCCACATTCCATAACATGGCATTTATTCACATTAAATTCCATTTGCCTAGTGGTGCTCCATATACTTATTTTGTCCAGGTCTTCTTGAAGGGCATGACAATCATCTAAGTTTCTTATCTTCCCTATTATCTTAGCATCATCAGCAAACATGTTCATATAATTCTGTATTCAATCTGGTAGATCGTTTATGTAGACAATGAACATTACCGGTGCAAGAACTGAACCCCTGTGGTGCCTACAGCTGGATGTGGCTGAAAGAGGCCCGCCCAGCTCTCAGTGACAATGGTGCCTGGAACTTGTCCTATTATCAGGGTGCCAAGGAAAGGTCTTGAGGGATTGTTCCTTGTACATAATTTGTCACTGACTACAGTACTGTAATATGCCCAATATCCTGCCTGAGCACCACCTGAGACTCTGGGGGAAGAGGAGACTAGGGAGAAAGAATGAAGGAAGAAGGGAGAAAGCAGAGAAAAGGAAGAAGGGAGAATAAGCAAGAATTCTTTTAACCCTTAAATAGCGCAATACATACATATATGATTGGAGTAACTAATCACAAAATGGCACAAATCATATATATATATATATGATTTGCATATTTAAAATAGTTATAATAGTCCTGTACATACTTAGAGCTCACATCTGCTTTCTCAGACCACCAGTTACCCCCCCTTCCCATATTGAAAAAAAATCCAGAGTCCCTCACTTTGCTTCTAGGGCCTTAGTAAGAAAATGATGATCATTACTTGGCAACATCACCATCCAATGTCTGAATGTTTAGGGCAGCCATAGAGGAGACACTAAACTTTTAGCAACAGCAAATGAGTGATTACCATGCATATATATGAGGCAAAATGTGTGCTATATGCATTTTTAAATTTAGGCTTATAATACATATACCTGTTTATGCGGAAAATCCACAGATAACTGGGAAAGAGAGATGAACGTTTCGGCCGATTTGGACCTTTGTCAACACCGGACTGAAAGAAATCACAAAGAAGAGTCTCTTTCTTTGTGATTTCTTTCAGTCCGGTGTTGACAAAGGCCCAGATCAGTCGAAACGTTCATCTCTCTTTCCCATTTCTCTGTGGATTTTCCGCATACAAATGATCAGTGTTTAGTGATCGTCAATTATACCTGTATATACACTTGGATTTTTGTGCTTCCTGAAGGCTAATTAACTGTCATAAGAAAAATTAATTTTTTTAGAACAATTTTTTTCTTGAGCGCCGTGGGGATGTTGGCTATTTAAGGTAGCGGTTTAAGGGCTAACCATTACACAAAAGAAAAAATTTGCCCGATAACACCAAGCCATAGTGCAGATTAGAAAAGGATCACTGTAAACATACTTGAGAGAGAAAAGAAAGTGAAATCTGCTTAATTTATACCCACCTTTAATGTGCTGGTTCAAGGCCAAAATCAATGATATACATACCAAAAATATTACAAAGATAATATGTATAACATGGCATGACACGTACAAGCTACCGAGCATGCTTTATACTCACATGAAGTCCATGATATGATCCATGAGATTAGCAATTGGAGGTCCTTCTGCTGGAGTATGTTCATACGTCAAACCAACTTCTCCCTTCTTGCCAACGATGAACTGTTTAATAGATTACTTAAGTATTGTGGGATATTAACAAGCATTTCAATATATAAATAAGACATTTACTTTCATTTAAAAAGGAAGACGACATATATAAACCATAATTTCCCATCAACCAAAGGGAAAACAATGGGTTATATAAAAACTTACGCAAAGACATCTAAAATGATTACTAACAACTTGTATAACATTATGATATCACATATTTCATGTTTGGCTGAAAATATAGAGCATGCTGGGCAACTGTACCACACTTTCTGTACACCATTTTGGGTACTTGAAATAAATTTAACCAATATTATCAATAGTCATATCATATTCAAAGATCCTAGTTAATCAGTATAATTTTGATTACATCCAACTATTCATTACCAAAGGCCTCATACTGGGCTGTACCCAGTACCTGATGGAGTAGTAAGTAATTATCAAAGGAATGCATCAAGCCGGGGAGGCTATGTAGCACTGTCAAAAATGCGGGATATTCAAAAGGCACTAAACATCACTAGGGATGCCAATATGAGAACAAAAGCGCACAAGGCGAACAACATCAAAGGCATCCGATTAACCAAACATACTAACGAGGGACAGGTGACCGCGAGGGACAGTCGGGAAGCAAGACACACACACACCTTGGAAGGTTGGACATTCAATAAGGATATGCACGACCGTAAGAGGGACAATGCAATTCGGACATTAAGGAGCAGGGCAGCGCTCCATTAAGTGTCAGCGAGTTTAACGGGTATGGCTAATACGTAACCTCGCCAGAGCCGCTTCCCACCGCCGGTTACGGTGGAAGGAGGAAAGCCATGGGGACACACTACCCTAAAGAGCATGCAGCTTGTTACCAGTAACAGAAGACCAGCAATCTTGCCAATGGGCATGGATTGAGGAATGAATAACAATGTAGAAGTCAAAATAAGGAACACCTTTGTGGGAAATATGACAAGTAAGGATAGCCTCCTTAGTGGCAGCATCCACACACTCATTTAAGGAAACACCAATTTGGCTGGGAACCCAGCAAAACCTAACCGTCTTAAATCTGCTGGAGATGAGAAACAGCCAATATTGAATTTTGACGACCACAGGATGGACTGGACTAAAGGACTCCAGAGCCAAGAGGGCACAGTGAGAGTCAACTACAACAACAAAGGACAATTATAGCGAGAAAGCATTTGAAGAGCAAACAAAATTGCATAAAGTTCAGCCATGACGGAGCCCAGTACGGTGAAGTGCAAGACAATGAAGGGTGGAGGGAGAGGCAGACGAGTAAGCAGGACAGCCATAATCTAGTTTAGATAGCACGAGAGAGGAATGTAAAGAGAGAAGCGTGTGCCTATCAGCTGCCCGGGAAGTATGGGACCAAGACCTTAAATAAGTTTAGGACCTTAGAGCATTCAACTTGGAGGTAGGAGATATGGGGGAGACCAGGACAAGCGAGTGTCAAAGATTAACCCCAGAAGTTTAGCGGAATCCTTATACAAAAGAGGATTACCATAAAGCAACCTGCTTTCGAGTACGGGTCATAGCACATGTCTTAGCCAGAGAGAACTTGAAGCCATGATTGGTGGCCCAGGATGACACGGCATCAATTGCAAGTTGAAGCCGCTGATAAGAGGAAAGGCGAGTCATCACCTTCACAGCAGAGGGTAAGATCGTAAACAAAGAGTGGAGAAAATGTCAGGGGAAAGGGAGGAAAGAAAACCATTGAGGGTAACCAGGAAAAAAAAAAAGTTGTGCTCAGAACACAACCTTGGGACACACACCTTCATATTGTCGAAAAGAGGCAGAGAGCGCGGTACCAAGCCGCACTCGAAAGGAACAACGAGAGGAAGCTCTGGAGGGAGAAAGGAAGATTTCTACGAAAACCAAAAGAACGGAGTTAGGCCAAAATATGGTATCGCCAGGTGGTGTCATACGCCTTTTCCAGGTCAAAAAGGACAGCAACAATGGAGGTCTTCGCAGCGAAGGCAGTACAAATATAGATCAAGTTCATGAGGACATCAGTTGTGCTCAGACACTTGCGAAAGCCAAATTGAGAAAGGGAGAGGAGGTGATAGCGTTCCAAAAATCATATCAGATGGACACTGACCATACACTCAAAGAGTTTGCAGACGCAACTTGTGAGAGCAATGGGGCAGAAGTCTATAGGGGATGACTCTAGAGAACCAGGTTTCCGAAGAAGTACAACCACCTCAAGCCAGACGACGCCCAGACACGGTTAAAAACACTCAGTAAATACTGAAACATGCATGGAGGGAGATGGCGAAGCATCTCATAATGAATATCATCCGAGCCCGCCGCTGTAGAACTGCATAGGGCCAGGGCAGACTGGAGTTCTGAGAGAAAGGATTGTTATAGGGAAGCCAAAGAGAAGTGCAAAAATCTAAGGGAGAAGATTCAAGAAGGGGCTTGCGAGTAAGGAAAGAAGGAGGAAGATGAGAGCTGGAGCTAACAGTCGAAAAGTGAGAACCCAGTTCGGTCGTGACCTGGAAAGGGAGGGGGGGGGGGGACCTGATGGAGTGCCCAAGTAATTTTACATATGAACAGTTGGTCATATAAATGGCCAGACTGGTAGGGGTTTGCCTCGCAAAGAAATTTGGCTTTCTCTGCAGATGATAGTTTGACAATCAGGTCTGTACATTGTCACAAGAATCTTCCTAGAGAAGGAGAGTGAGCCTATTCCTACATCGCCTATTCAACAACAACATGTTCTCAGGAGCTGTGTCTACACGAGCCCCATACCACCCTACCTCCTCCTCAGATGGAAATAAAAATAGTTCCTCTATGACTTGGCTTAATAACACAGTGCAAAAATGAAAAGCAAACAAACAAGTTAACATTACATTAAAGATCAAAATGAATGGTGCTGGAATACTATGTACAAAACTGCATAAATCTGCCACCACACAGGGTAGTGTGGCAGCAGGTTTAACAGGTATGAGCACTGAGAGTATTCTTCTTGGTGGTGGCTGGCTGGTTTCTATATATACATGGGTGAGCCCTGTGTAGGTGGCGCTGGTGTGTAAATAATTGTCAGCCGGCAGATGCAAAACTATCAAGTTGCTTGTTGACCAGGGAATGGGGTGACCCAGGTGCCAGGTGTGCTGGTATGACGGGTACTCGTCATACCAGCACACCTGGCACCTGGGTCACCCCATTTCCTGGTCAACAAGCAACTTGATAGTTTTGCATCTGCCGGCTGACAATTATTTACACACCAGCGCCACCTACACAGGGCTCACCCGTGTATATATAGAAACCAGCCAGCCACCACCAAGAAGAATACTCTCAGTGCTCATACCTGTTAAACCTGCTGCCACACTACCCTGTGTGGTGGTAGATTTATGCAGTTTTGTACATAGTATTCCAGCACCATTCATTTTGATCTTTAATGTAATGTTAACTTGTTTGTTTGCTTTTCATTTTTGCACTGTGTTATTAAGCCAAGTCATAGAGGAACTATTTTTATTTATTATAAATTGCCACCTTTATTTTTTGTCATAGTAAAGTATTTAAATTTTTATTCTGTGTACTTTATCCTACAGCTACCACACAGTGAAGAGATCTATTTAGCAGTATTATTTACTTTGTTTTTACTTATTTTTTTTTTGTTTAATGTGCATGGCATTCCATCTGCCCTAATAGCCACTGTTATTAGTAATTTTACTGTAACAACATATTTCATAACTCTTGGCCCAAGCTACCACCGATCCATACATTAGTTCTCTGGCAGTCTGGCTCCTCTGTGCATTCCTGACTCCTGCCCATAAAGGTTTCAGCCTCCCCAGGCTGCTCACAGGCCACTCAGCAATGCGAACAAATGTTTACAATCATTTTACATTTTCTCTGTTATTTGTTGGGTAATTACTATAGAATTAGTACTAAATATTCACACACAAATTCTCTTCTCTAGAGAACAAAAGCAAAACACAAGTGTATTTATAACAGATAAATACACAACATAAATGATAAATAATTTTGAATAGCAATCAGATGATGCACTTTAGTGTCAAAGGAATGTAAGTGTGTTAAGCAGCTATATGTGTCTGATTTCAAGCAGCATGGTAATAAGGACTTAGTTTTGTGATGGCAAATGTATGACCACATGTCCTAAGGTTTGTCACCTAGTTGTGTCAAAATAAACAAATTAAACACTTAGGAAGCAAATAGTTTAAGTATAAATAATATATACATTGCAACAACAACAAAAATCCAAAATAATGGATTATTAAGTATACCTAAACTTGAGACACAACCAGTATTCAATTAATATATCTGTAGGGTTTAAAATGTTCAGATTCCATTGTAGTGTCAATGTATAAAACAATGTCCAAGTTTATTCCATAATTTTTTAACAAAACCGATTATATATTAACACTTTCGCGCTATCTGGACGCGCCGGCGCGTCCCGTTTCGTCTAACGCTAACGCATAGTGGACATAAAGTTGAGTCCTCTTTTAAAATATTTTTATAAAATTCAATTTTTATCCGATTTACTTTGGGTTTGTTTCAAACTGCGCGCTATGAGGCTCTCTTTCTCACCACTAGGCTGCATGGTACAATAAGTTCATGAAAGGTGTGGATAACTTCGATCAAATGGTATTTTGTCCCAAACGGGTTGCAGGTGGGTGACTTTAGCCGTTTATACTGGTAATGCTTCCCCCATATCATGTATTATATGCATATGTCTGTTTAGGGAATTTTATTCCGATCAATATACAACCAAAAATAACTGTGTGCAACAAGTATAAACTTGACAAACATAACAAAAGTAAAAACATTTCGTGTGTGTTTGACGCTCACTGATATGTTCCAGCGTTGTTTTATATTTGGCGCTATTCTAACTTACGCTTTGTTGATATTTTTTACCTATGGGCACATAGAACATTCTATTGCGAACACATTGACACAAAAATGAATGACGTACATAGAAAATTAATGTCATGAGAGTGAAATAAGTATAAACTTTCAAAGCGCCGTGCGTCGTCCCGTCACCGATACCGGGTAACAATTTCACCACTTCCCACACTCTTGCGGGCGGGCCGCATCATTATTCTACGCTTATATTCATATCACCGTGTTGGGAATTTCATTGCGAGTCCATTGATACCAAAATTAACGCTGTAGAATAAGTGTGGAGGTGATTACAATCCCAAGAGTAAAAACATTTTGTTGCTGATGGGCGCTCACGGCGAGTCATCTTCGTAGTTATTTATTTGGTGCTGGTATCCCTATACGTTTCGTGACTTTTTTTACTGATGTTCTTCTAGAGAATTTTATTGCGAACACGTTGGTACCAAAATGAAATACGTAGCATGAGAACTAAGGTCAGAAGAGTAAAAAGAGTATACACATTTTTGTTTTTACGCTTAAGCGATAAAAACGCTGCGCGCACATTCGGTTGGCTGAGTGACCTTTGCGGAAAGCGCGAAAGTGTTAACCAACTGAGACCGTCAACAGACCGAGACCCTATAGTGTCCAAAGACCAACAGTTTCTTTCATTATCTGTTTCAGCGCCAGCACCCACAGTGACAACATTTAAATTCATAGATGTGACATTGGCCCTCAGCTATATTTGCCAAGACACAAAATGGAACATGGACTACCTGGATTTATGCACCTCAAGAGTGCCAAATATGTTTGAGAAATAAACCACACCATGTCTACCCTACTTATGCAAAACATTACACCTCATCCACTAACATCTGGCACAATTTTATACTCTGCCAACACATACTTTTAGCCCAATGACATTGTTCATTATCCAATAATGTTTCATTATTTCAGGTGCTACATAAACTTGGCCTATAAATCTAATGTTCTAGATAAATCAAGTTAACAAGACTTGCAGTATAAAGCAAGAAATATCTTACCTGAATGGTTTTATCATACCACCTGTTGCCTGCATACCCTTGAGGACCATTTCCATGTACACAATTCAAGGCTGCATCAGTCATAACATTACCAGAAGGATTGAAAATAGGGCCATCTAATGCCACCAGAAAAATGCACCGCTGTATCTCTTCAATGGAGGCTCTGTTTATCTTGTCTGTTGGAAGTATGATTTATTAATGAGTATGACCAAGAATATCAAGTTCTGTATAAGGCAGAAGAGAACTACAGGTTGTGAAACAAATGCTAACAAAAATTCCTGAGAATTAATTCTTTCCATCTAATAGACCAGTTGACCTCTGTTGCCCATGGAAGTGCAGAAGGTCTATAGATAAGAAAGATTCAGATTTCCAGTGTCAGTTCATTTCTTTGGCCCCTTTCCTTCAAAGCCCTATGCAAGAATCCTTAAAATGCATTAAATCTATCCCAGTATTTTGAAATCAGCTTGTGAAATTATTGTCCATCTACCCAAGTCATTCTGGTACATGACAAAAATTTTAAAGTATTTTTCTTGTCAAATGCAAAAATTCACTAAATTGTATATGACAAAACTTTTCCCCTTCTATTTACCCAAGTACACTACTTTTATTAATCTTTATTAACTGCATCAGTTACTAGTAATGTAAAGTCAGACATTGTACAACTTTCCTTATACAGTACAGTAACATACAAAGTGACAACTGTTGCAGTGATTCAGTTTCAACATTACTGGCTTGTGTGCTTGCTTGGTAAACTGATAAATGCACAAGACTCCTTGTTCCTGGTAGTCAATGACAGAAGTAAAATAGTCTATAAGGCAAGGTCACTGAAATAGGGCTCAACACTAAATCACTCCAATACCAATAATAATGCTTGGAAGCCAAACAGGATTAAGCATTGTACGAAAAAAACATATGGAAATCCAGTGTTGAATGTAATTAAACGCATCTTTCTAGGGAAGCCAAGTGGCTCCCTGTAGTTAGTTGCACTGAGATAGCTCCACACAGACTAAAGAAGAACTTTATGACAAAAGAGAAGGCCTTACAGTCATGAGACATTATAATAACATTGATAAATTCCAAATGTTGATACTTAGTGATTTAAATTTAAAAGCAATGAACTGGGAAGCCTATAAAGCAAAAACAGAGAACTTTTGGCCCAGTCAATTTGTAAACTTCCTCCTGGAAACTGTGTGTCAATTTGATAAACAGGCTACAAAGATGAGAGAAAAGAAAGCTCCATCTACTCTGGATATAGTATTTACCAGGAAAGAAGAGAAATTTAACATTCAGTATATTCCTCCCTTGGGGAAGAGAGACTATGTCCTCTTTGAAATAAAATAGGCAATGCATTATAACCTAGAAGAGAAGGGAGAGAGAAAAAAACAAAAACAAAAATCAAGAAAGGAGACTATAGGGAACTTTAAAAGTTTTTAATGAATTTGATAGTGAAGATCTGTTGTTAGGCAACAAAATGAAATTTATGTTAAATTTTGCAAGATTATATGACAAAGGTACAAAAATTTATATCAAAACAGAGCCAAAATTTGGAAAAATTAGTTCAACAGAAACTGTGAGGGGTCAGAGATCAAAAGACAAAAAATAAAATTAATATAGGAAGAGGCCCAACCCTCAAATGTATCAGTAATACAAATTAGCAAGAAACAACTTCAAGGCAGTAAGAAGAGTCAGAAGGAAGCTTTGCAAAAGGGGTAGCAGATAAATGTAAAAGAACCAGACCAGAATTTATTAAAAGCAAGATGCATGAAAAGGATAAAATCCACAGATTCAAAATGGGGAACAGATTTACAGAATGAAAAGAAAATGTGTGAAATTCTATATGAACAGCTCCAAAGTGTGTGTAATTACCTAAGTGTAGTTACAGGATGAGAGCTACGCTCGTGGTGTCCCGTCTTCCCAGCACTCTTTGTCATATAACGCTTTGAAACTACTGACGGTCTTGGCCTCCACCACCTTCTCACCTAACTTGTTCCAACCGTCTACCACTCTGTTTGCGAAAGTGAATTTTCTTATATTTCTTCGCAGATATATGGATAAAGACAAACATAATTCCCATCTACAAAAATTGCAGCCGAGAAGACCCTCTTAATTATCGACCCATATAGTTAACAAGCATGTAGGCAAAACACTAGATTTTTTTTTTTAAACCAAGTGAGTAGAATACCTGCAGAGAAATGATACAATAAACACACAGTATGGCTTTCGAACAGGAAAATCCTGTGTAACAAATCTACGTAGTTTTTATGATAAGAGCTACAGAGATTCTACAGGCAAGACAGTTGGATTGACTGTGTTTATCTGGACCTAAAAGAAGGTTTTTGAGTCCCACACTAGGAGGTTGTTCTGAAAACTGAAACATGTTGGGGAGGGGGGGGGGTCTGACAGACTGCTGAAATGGATACAAATTTTTGTAATTGCCAGAAAAATGAAGGGTGGTATTCAAAGGCAATGTTGGATTGGAGAAGTGTTACCAGTGGAGTACTACAGAGTTCAGTTCTTGCACCAGTAATGTTCATCATCTACATAAACGATCTAACCAAAGGAATCAAGAATTATATGAACATGTTTGCCGATGACACTAAGTTACCAGAGAAGATAACAGACTCGGATGACTGTCATGCCGTTCAAGATGACCTAGACAAAAGTGTATGGAGGAACACTTGGCAAATGAAATTCAATGTGAATAAAGGCCATTTTAATGAATAGAAAATATGAGAAAATAAGACACAACCTATAAATTATGTGGGGAAAACTAGAACTTTGACAAAGAAAGATCTAGGGGTGGGTCTGAATAGTAGACTGTCACCTGAGGAACACACAAAGGACATTGTGAGAGGAGCACATGAGCATAGGAGGCTTTCCAATTTTAAAACCGCTTCTAAATACATGGATGGCGAAATATTCAAGACACTTTTTCACAACTTTTGTGAGACCCAAATTGCAATATGCAATGATTGTATGGTGCCAATACCTCAAGAAGCCCATCAATAAACTGGAAAAGGTGCAAAAGCATGTTACAAAATGGCTTCCAGAACTGAAAACAAAGAGCTACAAGGAGAGATTAGAGGCATTAAATATCCAAAAGCTAAAAGATAGAAGAAAGAGGAGATATGATCACTACAAAATAGTAACAGGAAATGATAAAATTGACAGGAATTTTTGAAATGTGTAACTTCACAAACAAGCAGTCATAGTTTCAAGCTAAAGGAACAAAGGTGCTGAAAAAATATCAAATTTTTTCGCAAACCGAGTGGTACATGGGCCGAACAATTTAAGGTGGTTGTGGTGGAGGATAAAACCGTCAATAGTTTCAAAATGTCTTTTGACAGTACTGTACTGGGAAGATAGGACACCGTGAGTGTAACTCTTATCCTATAACTACACTTGGGTAATTATATGGACACAAATACATTAACTTAAGATAATAAATGACTATCTACCTACCTTTCCTTAGCTGTTTATATGCTTTACCCCACACATTGCGATTCTGTGTGGTGAGAATACCAACTGGAACAGTTGGATGTGTGGACCGTTCTACAACATTACGCAGCTGTTGGACCAACTGCTTTACATTCAGAGGTTTCCCATCTCGCCCATACACATCAATTTTGAAGAACTGAAATAAACAAATACTTTTGTCTAGTATAGAAAGTGTTCTTCCACACTTTTCTGGGAATGACACCCCACAGTACCTCTAAGTTTGTATACCAATACTAAGCCCAAATCTCAGACCCATTCAACAGATAGAAAGGACCCGAGTCTAGCTTCATATGAGGTGAGGAAAGCCTGGGGGGGCAAAGGGGGAATCCCCAATCTACCCAAATCAGGGTAAAACCCACCAGAAAGCATATGCATAACAAAACAAGTGACTGCTTGAAGAAAATTGGGTACCTCCAGGTAAACAAGACAAATGATCATTGCAGTGGGGTAAACACCCTGTGATGTGCCTAAATGCCATCAGATGACAGTCAAGATTACCCACGGACCCAACTAACTTGCCCCTCCCACTTTTTTGTCTATTGCAGCCAGAATGACACCTGTTGTCTCTGTATGGGCCACCTACGACTTCTCACTTTTAGCCAAATTATGTTGGCATTCCCTAGAACTTCAATTTTACAGCGAGCCTGTGAGATTATATTCTCAAGATTCTCCCACAGCCGACTTGAATGGCTCATTGCAGTGTATGGTGCACCTAATCGTGCACAAGGCCCCATCTCTTGACCCTTAAACCGCGCAATACAGTACATGTATATAGACGATGGGAGAAAGATTACCGAAACTGCGCAATACATATACAGACGATTGAGAGTCTAGCGCACGATTTTAAAGGCCCCGCAAAGGATAGGGGCAGCTATAGTCAAGCCGACCCCGTATGTAAACAGACGCCACCTAGAAAAAAAATCGTGGGTAACATATCCGGGTGCGAGAGCCTCAACTCTGAGTGAGCCACCAAGGCTGGCATACGCAACATGAGCTCACAGCACTGCTGTTCAGCTTGTGACCACAGCATCACCTGCAAATGTCAAAATATATATGTACATGCTATTATTTAGCGATGATAGCATTGCAGAAGACCCCCGACTGTGATAAAACTGATCAGGATTCTGATAATAGCAGGATTATGGTGATGTTTAGTGCTGTGCTCTATGGTGGGAGGAATAATGCTGAGGGAGGGAGGTGGCGTCATCTTCCGACTGTGTGTGGCCACCTTTTATTGACTGGACTTACCATACCAGCTTAGTGATTCGCTATGGTGAACACAAATGTAGATACTTATATATAACGTATGTATAGAGTGTAATAACAGTTATAGGAGTATGTTGGGAGCCGCCATTTTGGTGAGATAGGTGCGTTGTCTGCATGACATGTCATGTGTACTGGTGGCCACTATGGTCTTTGGGCACCATACCAGCTTATTTGTACAGCTATGGTGAATAAAACATGTAGATACTTATATATAATGTGTGTGTATATAGCGTAATAACACCACAAACAGTATTGTTGGAGGAGAAATATTAGTGCATCTGGCATTGAACCAGTGAGCAAGGCAGCCACCAACCGACTGTGTGCGTAGCTACATCTCTTATTGCCTGAACTCGCCATACAAGCTTAGCTGTTCAGTTACGGTGAACAAAACAACACCACATCCATGGTTCGTTTGGTGATTTCCAGTGTCTCTTGGTACATTTCGCTGGATCACCAGAGATGATCGTTTGCCTATCCCAATACATCCTGTGTTTAGGGTATGACTGGAATTCAGTGTGCAGCACCTCTGACCTTATTTTTGTCAGACTTCTCCAGCCCAACTTGCATAGTGCCTTATCATCTCTGTTTATCAGCTTTAGCTTTCTGGTCAACTTTCAGAAGTCCTGGTTTGTGCTTTCTTTGGTTTCATGCTTAGTCTGAAGTGGTCTAGGGTACTAGGGCAGTCTCCCTGTCTCTTCCTTGGTTGGCCTTCATTCCAGCCAATGTATTCTTTCATTCCTTGTTTGAGTATGGGGTCCAAAATAAACTAAGACTCACAGGATAAGTATAGTATACAACAGAGAAAGAATGAAGGTCACATCCGAAAATTTGGTTTTTAATACACTTACACATTTATTGGGTCTTTCCTTCGCCTTCATTCAAGCACTACGGCATTATAACAAGTTTTCCAGGATTATTATTTATTTTATTTTATTATTATTATTATTATTATTATTATTATTATTATTAACAGAGGAGGGGGGATTGGTTCACTTGTCCACATTCCAATGCCAGCTTCCCAGGGATGGGGGTGCGGGGGTGCACAATAAAATACCCACCTCCGGCGGCAGCGTGTCGCCAGCGAAAGTACAGCCTAGGCCATTTGTCATGATTAGTGATGACTTATTTTAATTGGGAGGGTCTGTAATCCAGTTGAGCCTTTATTCTTAATTATAATTACATGCTGATAAAATACACTTCTTAGTGATGAGTATAGGATGCAAACTGAACTACCACTCACAGGATGAGTATAGGGTACACAATGAACTACCACTCACAGGATGAGTATGGAGTGCACAGTAAACAGATTCACAGGATGAGAAAGGGTTCCACAATATACTATGACTCACAGGATAAGTATGGGTTGCACAAACTACTGGTAACAGGATGAGTATGGGTTGCACGAACTACTGGTAACAGGATAAGCATGGGTTGCACAAACTACTGGTCACAGGATGAGTATGGGTTGCATAAACTACTGGTCACAGGATGAGTATGGGTTGCACAAACTACTGGTCACAGGATGAGTATGGGTTGCACAAACTACTGGTCACAGGATGAGTATGGGTTGCACAAACTACTGGTCACAGGATGAGTATGGGTTGCACAAACTACTGGTAACAGGATAAGTATGGGTTGCACAATAAACCACTGTGCAGAGGATGAGTATGGAGTGCACAGTAAACAAAGACTCACAGAATGAGTATGAGGTGCACAATAAACTACCACTCGCATGATGAGTCTTTGATATTCGTGCTCTATATTAGGGGTAACTAAAATACACCTATGTTTCCAAAAAAATACTGTACTTTAATGACAAACATTTGAAAATATATTTTATGTCTCTGAATTTCTGATGATATAGAACATATCAAATATATAGGGGTCCTGGTAGTGCAGTTAGGTTCGTTCTCGACGCACAATCGAGAATTCCGGGTTTGAATCCTGGGCGAGACAGAAATGGCTGGGTACATTTCCTTTCACCTAATGTCACTGTTCACCTAGTAGCAAGTACTGTAGGTACTCAAGAGTTAGCTTGTTGTGGAGTTGCATCCTGAGCGGGATCAGTAATTCAACTTGGGGGAGGGGGGGAACTCGATAAAAGCCTGATAAGTATGAATACACACTGGCTTCCTGTGCCACCGACACAATGAAATAAGTTTAATTATAATATTATGGTTTATACAGTAATCAAGTTCTTAACAGTGAGCCTGCATTATAATTACCATATGTATATCTTTACTGCTGATTTGTGTTTTCAAGTGACTACAATTTTATAAGATAATTTCGTTCTGTAATTGATGATAAAGTGCAATTAAAGATATTGCAGCTTATAGGAAATTGTTAAATCCTAAATATATCTTGGTTCTTATACTGTACTGTACTTAAAATAGTTATATTAAACTACTGGTTCTTATACTGTACCTAAAATAGTTACATTAAACATTTGAAAACAAATTTTATACAGGGGTACCTCGGTTCAAGAGTTTAATTCGTTCCTGGAGACAGCTCATAATCCGAAAACTCGTAAACCGAAGCTAATTTCCCCATAAGAAATAATGGGAAATGAATTAATCCGTTTCTGACTACCCAAAAACCTCACTTCAAACTAAATTTTTTACCCAATTCATCTAAATCTACACTACAAAATTATGTTCAAGTTATTACTTGCCCTTGGCGATGACTGCTGTTGGCGTATGGAAGATGGTGAGGAGGGGAAAGGAGAAGAGGTGTTACTGTTTGGAAGGGGAGTCCCCTTCCATTATAACATCAGGCAGTGAGGACTTCACTGGTGTGCACACACTGGCACATTTTGCCTGCATACCATTAGGACTTGCTTGTCTTACTAAGAATCTGTCTAAAGACACTTGTTTTCCCCTACATTTTACCACTTGTCTGTAGTAAGACAACCACTGACTTTCTTGGGACCCATGGCAAGACATAATAACTTTTATGCTCAAATGGCCAAAAATCCGACCAAAAACTGTAAATCCCGATGAAGAATTCCGGCAGGATAGTCACTGGGCGCGAGACACTGGTAAACTGAGGCCTGATCGCCATGCCACCACGCGCTAGTCGGCCTGTATGCATATCAACACCCTCTTCTTCCGAGGCAAAGCTCGTACAGGTACAGTATTCCAAAATAAATTTTCCGAGCAAATCCTGCTCATATTTCGAAAAACTCGTATACAGGGACACTCGTATTCCGAGGTACCACTGTCTGTATTTTCAATAAAATATACGTAAAACATTAACGTTTATCAACGCATATCTGTGAATTACATAATTTATCAGAATAGTGAAGCCTGTATTGCCCGCCTGGCTGGACACTGATACTTAGGTAGTTTTCATGTGTCCGGACACCGGCGATGGTGTGGTATTATTAATTAACCATATCTTGGCTTTCATTTAAGATATAAATTCCTTGAAATATAGTCCCATTATCGTCTACATCTGTGTTTATTCTGATATATAGGCCTTTAAAGTTAATTAGCATATATGCAAAATAAATACACAATTGATTGGCTGGTGTGTAGCCCTTCACACTCCCAGAGCTAGCCATCAAGTTACTATAACAAGCCATATATCTTCACTTTCACTTCACTTATATTTATGCCAAAGTATTAACATGCAGCTTATATTTCTGTCTTTATGATGACAGAAAACTTTGTTTATTACAGTACCTAGATTAATATTGATCTTCGAAAGGTCGTAATTCCCATGGATAGGGAGAGCGTCGGCAAAGAAACCTTGTTTAAAAAATGAATATATTTCCTCTGATAAGGTATAATCTCTGTGATGGATTCACAAAACTATTTTATCTCTGCCTTTCTGATAACATATACAAATATAAGCTTTGTGAATTTCTATTAATTAAGCAATATATCAGAGCATGTAGAGTTCGGTGGTCTATGAGCAAAAAGGACACAAGTATTTTAAGTAGCAAACGTATACTGTACCAACAAATAACGTTAGTATCTATATAACAAAAGTAACGTCCGGTGGAGTTGATTTAACTTCGACACGTTTTTTTAAATAAATATTAAATGTTTTGTGGCTAATTATGCTAGATATTATAAATATGCACTCTACTTGTTAATATCATCAATTAAATTTGTGACAACTTGTGTTGTCACAAATTTAGAAGAAGTGCGATGACTCGATCACTGTGTTCAGGAGGCTGATATGCCAGCAAACACTCTCCAAGCGACCCTATGTCTTGGATAGGTCGCTCCACAACATTGTTGCTTGGACTGTCTATTTCCTATGGTGTCACCTGCTACATATTTACTTCTAATTTTGCTATGAAATTAGATTATTTCAGAGTATAAATAGGTTTGATCATGTTCTTCATTCAGCACCAACATTATAGGGAGAAAATGTATCATTTCTTCATTACTTACGTAATGCTAGCAGGCTTTGAGTAGCTTTGGGCAATTCTACAGACCAACCACATTTGCCTGTCATCCACCCATCCAGAAATGTTCTCCCACTTACCTGACCTGTCCGCCCACTCGCCCTGCCAACCTACCAGCCAGGCAGCTAACCACCCACCCAGTCCCACACACTAATTATAGTGTGTGGCAATTCAAATTATGTTGTTTGTGGTACAAACATTTTTGGAAATGTTCACTTTTGGACATCCGCAGTGAAAAGTCAGTTAATCCGGACAACGTGCTAATCCGGCAGGGGGTCCTTCCCATATAGTCTGGATTAGTGAACTTCTACAGTATGACTAACACTTGAAAAGAATTGAAGGACAAGAAGCTGACATACAACAAATAGAAATTGAAAGCCACCCATATAAGAGGCAAAGCCATCACTAAAAAGTCAAAGTGGCTGAGCTCGACTTTCAAGGCATTGCAGTGGGCCCCTGATGGTATGGACAAAATCCCCCATGCAATGAATCGGCTTCAACCTATATAGATAGATTGAGTGAATTCAGACAGTACAAAATATAAGTATTTTCTACTTACATGATTATTATGGGCTACTGCTATATGTTTTGGGGGATTTGGCTCCTGCCCATAGAACCGAATCGTATCTCTTGTTACTCCAGGAATGCGGCAAGTACCAAGAATCTTGAAGTACTGTGACATGTCTAAGATGGTGTTTCCCATGCGATCCACTGGTACAGCTTTCCTTGAAAAACATTTTTTAATCAAGATAAACAAAATTAAGATACTGTACAAGCCATGCAAAATTATTACACATTTCAAAGATATGAAAATTTGACAATTTTGTTTTCCATACAGTTGACACCAGATTATCAAGTTTTATTTTACAGTTTCTACACAAAGTTAAAAAATAAGAGACCGTTAAAATGTTTTGGTTTGCTTTACAAAAATCCTCAGTATCAACAGTTATTCCCAAAATCTTATTACATTGCTTATTCTTGTTTCTCAGAGAAAGGTCAGCCCAAATTTTTCATTTCAGCAATGAAGTCATTTAGTCTATTTTCACTTTTTTTTTTTTTTTTTTAATTTTTGCTTAATTGAATGAACTAAAGCTACAAGAATCACACAAAATCCAGCAGACACAAAGAGCAAAAGACCATCAGTGAGAGAGAAATCCAAAATAATTTTTCTCCTATGCAAAATCAAGATAAAAACTACATCTAGTATCGGGCCCATGCAAAAGGGAGATGGAACTTTCACAGATGACAACAAAAAAATGAGTGAAATACCGTACAGAGGAATCGGTACAACTCTTGTTTTCAGCGAGCCACTAAACACACTGAAGATTGATAACCCAAATTAATTTTTTATGGATGTGATACACACATCAAATCATATACTGTACAGTGGTACCTCAGCTTACAAATTTAATCCGTTCCCAGAGAATGTGTGAAACGTTAAACGAAAAGTTCCAAAGTGTGTTTGTACAAAATGAAATCTTCAGGGAACCAGACAATAAGAATTCCAGAGACGACGAGACTAAGACTAAGTGGAAAAAATGCTCAAGGAGCTAAATAAGAACAAGGCAGTTAGTCCAGATGGAGTTTCACCATGGGTTCTGAGAGAATGTGGACCTGAGCTCAGCATTCCACTTCAACTGATTTTTCAGGCATCCCTGTTTACAGGAGTTGTAGCTGATGTGTGGAAAAAGGCTAACATAGTTCCAATCTACAAAAGTGGAAGCAGGGAAAACCCCTTTAATTACAGACCGGTATCATTGAATAGTGTAATAGTCAAAATATTGGAAAAAATAATTAAAACTAAATGGGTAGAACACCTGGAGAGAAATGATATAATATCAGACAGACAGTATGGTTTTCGATCTGAAAGATCCTGTGTATCGAATTTACTTAGTTTCTATGATCGAGCAACAGAGATATTACAGGAAAGAGATGGTTGGGTTGACTGCATCTATCTGGACCTAAAAAAGGTTTTCGACAGAGTTCCACATAAGAGGTTGTTCTGGAAACTGGAAAATATTGGAGGGGTGACAGGTAAGCTAACATGGATGAAAAATTTTCTGACCGATAGAAAAATGAGGGCAGTGATCAGAGGCAATGTATCGGGCTGGAGAAATGTCACAAGTGGAGTACCACAGGGTTCAGTTCTTGCACCAGTGATGTTTATTGTCTACATAAATGATCTACCAGTTGGTATACAGAATTGTATGAACATGTTTGCTAATGATGCTAAGATAATAGGTAGGATAAGAAACTTAGATGATTGTCATGCCCTTCAAGATGACCTGGACAAAAGTATATGGAGCACCACTTGGCAAATGGAATTTAATGTTAATAAATGCCATGTTATGGAATATGGAATAAGATTACATAGACCCCACACAACCTATATATTTTGTGAGAAAGCTTTAAAGAATTCTGATAAAGAAAGATCTAGGGGTAGTTCTAGATAGAAAACTATCACCTGAGGACCACATAAAGAATATTGTGCGAGGAGCCTATGCCACGCTTTCTAACTTCAGAATTGCTTTTAAATACATGGATGGCGATATACTAAAATTGTTCACGTCTTTTGTTAGGCCAAACGGTTGTGTGGTGCCCATATCTTAAGAAGCACACAAACAAACAGGAAAAGATGCAAAGACATGCTACTAAGTGGCTCCCAGAACTGAAGGGCAAGAGCTACGAGGAGAGGTTAGAGGCATTAAATATGCCAAAACTGGAAGACAGAAGAAAAAGAGGTGATATGATCACTACATACAAAATAGTAACAGGAATTGATAAAATCGATAGGGAAGATTTCCCGAGACCTGGAACTTTAATTAAGAACAAGAGGTCATAGATTTTAACGAGGTCATAGATTTAAACTAGCTTTACACAGATACCGAAGAAATATAAGAAAATTCACTTTCGCAAACCGAGTGGTAGACGACTGGAACAAGTTAGGTGAGAAGGTGGTGGAGGCCAAAACCGTCAGTAGTTTCAAAGCGTTATATGACAAAGAGTGCTGGGAAGACGGGACACCACGAGCGTAGCTCTCATCCTGTAACTACACTTAATTATAATGGTCTCCTGCACCACATGGGGTGGGATGCAAGAGGCCAAAATCCTTCGGAAAGACAGAACCGAGGAACCCATGGGATCATGGAACCGAGCCCGGGGAGGGGCAGACGCCAAGTCCAATTCCAACCCGTTCTCGCAAATTTAATAAGTCAATATTGACTTATTAAATATGTGCATAGGTGACATACTTAACACTTTCGCTCATCCGAGCAGACCGTCGTTGTCACCAATATTATTAATCACACCGCACGCGTGCCGCTCTCGGGAGTCACGAGAAAAAATATTTGTAGAAAATCCATTTATTATCCGATCAACTTGGGAATAGTTTACAAATGTTTGCCATGAAATTTACGTTTTCTCTAATAGCCGAACAGCTTATTAAAGAGAACGTCGTGGCAGTGAATCATTGTGGTAAAACAATTGTATTATTGACACGACGAGTATAATCGACGTAGTTTTTATATATGTTGCCGGTCAAACGCATCCTTATGTGACCTTTAATACTTATGTTCTTATAGAACATTCTATTGCGAGCACATTGGTACAAAAATGAAATACATACATCGACAAATAAAGTCAGGACAGTTAATTGAATATACACTTTTCAAAGCGAGTTTCGCCGATATGCCGCCGCGGGTAACACTTCGGCCACTTCCCACACTGTTTTGGGTGGGCTACGACATTGAATCTATATTTATATGCATATGTCCGTGTAGAGAATTTTATTGCGATTCCAATGATACCACAGTTAGCGATGTAGGACAACTGTAGGCTTCGCAACCATTAAGAGAGTGGAAACATTTTGTTGCCGTTTGGCGCTCTCGGCGAGTGATCTGAATATTGTAGTTTTTTATTTGGTGTTGATAGTCCTTATGCTTTGGCAGCATTATATAGGTATGTTCTTATAGACAATTTTATTGCGAACACAGTGATACCAAATTTAAATACGTGCGCCTTCAATTATTGTCAGGACAGTCAAAAGAGTGTACACTTTTTCGGTCTTACCGCGTAGGCGCGCGAACCGCCGAAAGCGCATAGGGTATGATTTTTTTTTGAACGCCGAGAGCGCGAAAGTGTTAACATAATAGTTTCCCTTGAAAAGCTTCATGGATTCATAGAAAACACCGACCTTACCTAACCTACTTAGTATGTTAAGATAAGCATCTTATTGCTTCGTAATTACAATTATTACCTAACCTATACCTATAATAGGTTAAGTAACAATTGTAATTATGAAGCTATAAGATGCTTATTTTAACATACTAAGTAGGTTAGGTTAGGTCGGTGTTTTCTATGAAGCTTTTCAAGGGAAACTATTATGTTTAGTATGTCACCTATGCACGCAACTAATAAGTCAATATTGACTTATTAAATTTGCGAGAACGGGTTGCCAATTCATACGAGGTGGGGGGGGGGGAGAGGAATAAGAGGACTCCACTCCTTGTAACACCAAGCCCCACTCCGAGGGTACAAAGAACCAAGCGGGGTCCACCGGGGCTAAAGGCCCTCCAAGTCAGCCCCTTCCCTGCTCGGGAAACCTCGCCTTGAGGACCTAGGGCCAAGCCGTCAAAGAAGCAGGAACGATGGGGGCCCACTAGCCAGACCCAGAAGCTTCGGCTGGAGGACCAGGCTCAAATGTCTCCGCTGCCACCCCGGAAGGGGACTCCGTAAGGACAACATAACTAGGCGGTACAGAGCCGGCCACTATGAGAGGCGACAACTAACTGCACAGTACCCTGCACCCCTACCAGTAACAATCAGTAACAAAAATTACCCCCCCCCCCTACCCAGAGACAAACGGGAACACAGAAACCGCAGCCGACTCCAAGAGGTCAATCAATCACCAATCACCGAGCAGCAAGAGACAGCGGAGGCAGATCCCAAGGCGACTTGTGGAAGGTGGCCCCAAGGGTAATACTTACAGGGCATCTAGGGAAGGAAGGAAACCCCTAGGCGCATACAGCCTGAGTACTGAAGAATTTACTCCTGGCTTGCACACCAACCATACAGACAGCACCCCACCACATGGCACAGAATTTAAACAATTTGCTGGAGCCAGAGGCACATGACCTTGCCAGTATCACTTCAGCCAAGAACTGAGGGGTGGGTAGCCCTCATTGAATGTCTGGGGCCCCCCTTTCCCCCTCCCAAGGAGGCAGGGGGGGGGGAGGGGGAGAGCTACCTTTCCCCAGATAAACCTGCAGAATGGTAGCAGCCTCCCACCATTCAAACATGCAGGTCCAACAAAACCCATACCATGGCCCCAACAAAAAGAATGAGCAGTCTGCCAGCCAGGATGACTCCAGAACATCCAAACACACTCGATACAGGAAAGATGAACCAAACTCAAACAAGGACGGATCCATCACAGAGGCATAATCCGGGTCTTGCAGGAGGTACTCAACAAGATACAGAAGGAGCCAAGGAACTCGAGGAACCCAGAACCAAACCCGGGGAAGAGCCTACCCCAAATCATACTCAAAGGGAAGGGGGGGTTAAAAAAAAAAAACTCCCCCCACTCCCTGCAACAACAAACACTGCAAAGAGGGCACTAACACCCCCAGCGGGATCAAAGGGGGCCCAAGCCCCCCAGGTCAATTCCTTCCCCCACCCCAGGATCCTCCAAACCCGGACCTGGGGCAGAGCCGTCCTCTACACCCTCTACCCTCGAAGAAAATGCAGAGTCCAGGGGAAACTACAGAAAAGAATGGGGGTCAATGGGGCAGCCCCTAAAGCTGCCCAAGTCTCATCACCAACTAAACCCTGGCCCGACTCTGAAACCCTCAGACTTCTGGGAGCAGGGAGCAGGGAGGGGGGGGGGAGCAGGGCAAACATCTCCAACTGGGGAAGGACTGCGGAGCACGGACCGAACCACAGTCGAAGCAACTAACGCCCCCAAGTCCAGGTACCTATAACCAAAACGGGGCAGCCTTGGGGCATCCGGGTGGGCAAACAACCTAGTGCATTGCAGCAACCTAAACCTGGCATGCAATGTGGATGCTGCCTGTAATAAGAGAAATTGCCGACTTGGAGAGCATGCAGAATCCCTTTACTGCTAGAATCCACTTGGTAAAACATCAAAACTATTGGGACTGACTAAAATGCCTAAATCCATATTCTCTTGAGCACAGGCGGGAGAGATACATAATGATTTACATGTGGAAAATAGTAGAGGGGCTGGTCCCAAACTTGCACACAGAAATAATATCACATGAGACCAGAAGGCATGGCAGGATGCGTAGAATATTCCTGTTGAAGAGCAGAGGTGCAACAGGTACTCAGAGAGAACTATCAACATCAGAGGCCTGAGACTGTTCAACACGCTTCCACTTCACATAACAGGCAAACCCCTCAGCGTTGAAGAGAGAAGTAGCTAAACACCTCCAAAGGATACCTGATCAACCAGGCTGCAATTCATACATCAGGCTGCGAGCAGCCACGTCCAACAGCCTAGTTGATCAGTCCATCAACCAAGAAGCCTGATCGGGGACTGGGCCGCAGGGAGGTTGAGTCCCAAAATCATCGCAAGGTAACCAAACGGTAATTGAAGGCACCATCTCTCAACACAAGTGCATGCAGTTATTTGAGAAAGCATCAACCAAAAAAACCTTAATATGTACTTGGCCACACAATTTAAATAATAAAATAATATGTTTAACATTATACCACTGGTATGTATAAAACAATTTTAAGTAAAATTAAGTAAAAAAATGTAAAATATGGAGCACAAAAAAATCAGAACACACAAATCTCCATATAACTGCAATAGAGGTCTGCACCACATGATCAGAATTGCAGAGTACTGTACTTTACATTTTAACATTATTTTACAAGTTTTTCTCTACTGCTGCAGTTACCAGGCCCAAACTCTTGTTCTCTGTATCAGATGTCTGGATAAATATTCAAGGATGTTTAAACAATTGCTTTGATGAGTTTCTTGAAACGATGTTCACTGCGAACAATCTTTATAAAGTAATTCTTCCTGTTCATTATAGCAAGCTGCTAAATTTAACAATAAATAATGACAGTGTTTATTGGCTATATTAAAGTACATTTTTTGTAGTCACTAGAACATTTCTATTCGCTTAAATCTCAATTACTGGAGCTTAAATTAGTAACACTTTGTAACTACAGTATAGTACAAAAATGTATATTCGTGCATGCCACAATTTAATTTCAAGATACAGATTTCTCCTTCCTATCACACAATAAAATTGTACAATACTTACTGATCTACCATTGTTTTGTAGTCAAGAGTTCCAGCAATAACTTTTGCTGCAAAACTGAGTTGATCATCCAATGTTTTGAATTCCTGAAGAGGGAAGACCAACCCAGGAGATGACCAGACCACTACTGGTCCCCGGCAGTCTAGATATGCTGCATTTATCCACCAATCGGAAAGCTGAAAATTAATTAAAAATTAAAAACATTAAAATGTAGCCTCTCCTAAATTTCATAAAACATAACTAAGCAAGGTAAACAAAAAAACCAGCGTTGAATGTAATGACACACCATTTTCTGGGCGAGACCTGGAGGTTCCCCCGGAGCTATCCAGCTATCCAGGCTGATGTGTAGTATATTAGACTTTGGCATCAATCAGTGTGAATGGAGTTCATAGGCCTACCGGTAACCACAAGTCAGAACCTGGCCCCCTTCAGGGAGGAACGAGAAGCAATAACCTATAGAATAGCACATGTGATTTGGAGCATTCTATGTCTGCCATCGACCGAGTCAGGAACCCAGAGATGGGTGGGAAATCATCCCAAAACAAACCTCTATTCTGCTTGAAACTACTACTGAAAGGTAAACGAGGCCAGAACTCCCCAAAGAAAAACAAGCAAATGCACATGACGTCACCATTTGCCACACCACCATCGTCTGTGAAGCTCCCTCCTCCCTGGGAGGGAAAAGGGGAAGTCCCAGACCCCTTGTGCTGGCAACCCACACCATCAGTTCCGAGGCTGGATGTCAAAAACACGTGAAGAAGCCACCGACCGGAGGGAGGAAGGTATGCTGGGATGTCTCCGAGTCTCACCCAGAAAATGGCGTTTCATTACATTCAGCGCTGAATATAATGAAAACATTTCTGGGGGGAGCCCCTTCGGCTTCCTGGAGCTACCTACCCAAAGACAAGGAAAGAGAGGGATGGATCCGGCAGGTAGTCAACACGTGTCGTAACATGAAACAAGACAGCAGGCAACCTCGAATGACCCAGGAGACCCAACCCCGGAACACGGAAGAAGGGAACTCGGGCAACCAAAAGATCGTCCGCGGCAACAGAGGCCAAGGCGCACAGGCAACGGCAGAGAGCCACAACCGGACACAACACGCGATGCACCCCCTGCCAAACCAACCAAGCAGCAACAATCCAAGGACCCCTCCGGAAAGCAGACATCACAAACTCTTTAATTTGGGGAGTTCTGTCCACTAGTTCAGCTTTCAGTAGCAATATTTTAACCAGAATAGGTGTTTGTTTTGGGGCCCCTTACCTTTGCGGGTGCCTGACCCGGTCGATGGAAGACATAGAATGCTCCCAACTACACTTGGGTTTCTATAGGCCATTACTCCTTGTGCCTCTCTCAGTGGGCCAGGTTTTGGCTCGTGGTCCCCGGTAGGCCTAGAATTCCACGTGCATTGACTGATGCCAGGGGTCTAATACATTCATATCAGCCCGGTTAATTCCGGGGAGCCGATGGGGCTCCCCCCAGAAAACAATATCAAGTAACTTGGCAGATTCCAATAACGCAATAGAAGTTGAGGTGGAAGAATGCATACACTCTTTTTAATAAATGGAGGAAAAAAAAATGTAGAGTCCAAACCCACAGGAGGAGAGGCTACAGCAGAACCACCTAGTAAGATGTTATGGTTATAGGTTGCAATGTAATAGTGATGGACGGAAATTTGACACTTTGATGCTCTGGGCGCGCGTGCACTGCACTACCCTGAGTGGGTTTGGGCATTCCGCAGGAGTGTGCGGTAATTCTGATAAGTGTATACTCTTTTCAACTTTTGTTACCTCAAATCTTGTCCTAGGTTTTTCAATTTGGTATTGTGTTCACAATAGTTCTCTGCTATTGTGTTCTTTAGTTCTCTGCAGAACTAAAGGCATATAAAGTCCAAAAGCCCAGCGTATCATCCGCAATAAACAGAGAAAGTGAGAGAAAGTTACCCAGGAGCGCACAAGAGCGATAAAATGTTTACCCTTCAGTTTTTTCACCTCAATTCTCATCCTAGGTCTTATTTTAGTATCAATGTGTTTGCAATAGAATTCCCAACAGGAGTAATACATGTAATGTCAAAAACAGCAGCGCGCTCCACACACCAACGTGATGAAAGCAGGCCGCAGTTACCAGAAAGAGCGCTGCGCCACCCCAAGGAGCCTCATTACATTAGAGAGCGCGGTAATTCTGAAAAGTGTATACTCTTTTCAACTTTGTCATCTCAATTCTCGTCCTAGGTTTCTCAATTTGGTATCAATGTGTTCGCAATAGAATTCTCTACAGGACTAAATGAATATAAAGTCCAAAATCCTGGAGAGAAAGTGAGAGCATCTTTCCCGGGAGCGCGCAAGAGCTCTTTCTTCACCTTGGACATCTCAATTCCCGTCCTAGGTCTTTCATTTTGGTATCTGTGTTCACAATAGAATTCCCTACAGGATCATATGCAAATATAAAAGTCCAAAAGCCCAGCACATCTCCCACGGCAAACAGAGAAAGTGACAGAACGTTACCGTGAGCGCTAATAAAGAGCAATAAAATGGATATGCTCTTTTCAACTTTGTTACCTCAATTCTGGTCCTAGGTCTTTAATTTTGGTATCAATTCATTCACAATGAAATTCTCTATAGGACTAAATGCATTTAAAGCCCAAAAGCCTGGCGAGAAAGTGAGACCGTGTTACCCGGGAGCGCGCAAGAGCGATAAAATGTGTACACTACACTTTGGACATCTCAATTCTCGTCCTAGGTCTTTCATTTTGATATTGTGTTCACAATAGAATTCCCTACAGGAGTACTGTATACGCAAATATAAAGTCCAAAAGCCCTGGCGTATCACCCACAGCAAACAAAGAAAGTGGCGGAGCGTTAGCCCAGTGTGCGCTAATCAAGAGCAATAAAATGGGTATACTCTTTTCAACTTTATTACCTCAATTCTGGTCCTAGGTCTTTAATTTTGGTATCAATGTATTCGCAATGAAATTCCCTACAGGAGTATATGCGTATAATGTCCAAAACCGCGGTGCGCCCCTCCCGAAGCCGCCACCAATTACTGCCGAGGACTCAATGCGGAGTCCTTACTGGACTTCCCCTCTATTTAACGGAGGACTCAATGCCGAGTTGTCGCCGAGCAAAAGTGTTAACTACTGTATCTCTGACAAAAGCCCCCAAGTGTAAAGTATATAAAGGAACTGTGGCTCACTGCCTGAAACAGACGAGACTTGTCTCACTCGCTTATATTAATAATAATAATAAAAATACTCCCACTATCACTGGAGAGAGGGAAGCAGCTACCTCTTCTGTCATCCACTTCTGAGAATCATCAGATCAGGGCATGGGAGAATTTCGCTTACCACCTGTTGTCAATACTCGCACTGCAATGTCAGCTTGCCTGATATCTGTTCATAGTTTACTACAATTTGTTGTCAAGCCTCCACTCTCCGTATCTCTCCCTTATAATCCAGCTAGTTAAGTGTCCAGACCATTCTTAAAATCATAACCAACCCATGGTCGTCAAGGCAGGGAGCAATAATAGTAGGCGTTCGTATAACTTTATTAAAATTATATATATTTAAGTCAACTTACAACCCTTCACCTTCAATAGTAATTAAATAGACTAAGCTTTATCTAGTCTAGCTAACTAAGTCCCCTTTAAATAGACACAGTACAAATTAATCTGTTGCTCTTTCCTCAACATAAATTAATCACATTAACATAATACTTATTTCATAATGACAATCACATTAACGATAACCTTCCGGTTGCGAGAATCAAACTACGAGCCAAAATACACAAATATATTGTCTCGGTAATAATGACATAAGAACTACTATATCTACAGGTATAGGCCTAACAGTTCACTTTAAAACATCAACACAACTTGGCATCATCTGGGAACACACATAAACATCACAAATCTATTTGAAATCAAGTCAATAATCATTCATATATACAAGTCAATGTTTTACTTACAAGATATTTCCTACCAGTAACCTTTAATTCCCATTTGGGCAAATAAATCAAGTATTTATATACAGTATTGTACATAGACATGAATCTTAGACTTTGTATAACATTTACTGCATCACTTATTCTCTTATATAACTTGTCTAGACATAATAAGCTCCACTGTAATAATTTATTATGCAAAAAAAAAAAAAAAATTCTTCTTTTGGCATCGTAGGTAGTCTAGGCTACTGGCTATGTATGATTTTGGTCATTAATCATTCAAATATATTCATGCGAGATATCAACGGATTCGTCTCCTCAAGACCTCTCCAAATATGTTCTCAGTATCTCACCCAAATAAAAGATAATTCTCCCACTAAATTATATCTTTGTATCTGGAACAATTACACTGTATCTACATTTCATCTGGTTGGCGACGTCTGGCATCTACTGCGCCACAAATCAGTAGCCCCACAAATTTTGTGCCACCCGCCACACTGTCCTCTGGGGTCCTCTGCCCCCCCTATCAACTAACTAGTGACAACATATACAGTGGAATCTCAGTTTTTGAATGTCCCATTTCAAATTTTTCGGTTTTCGAGCTCAATTTTTTTCTAAAATATTGACTCAGTATTCAAGGTTTGCCTCACTTGCAGGTTTTTTTTATACACATATGGGTCGACCGAGCTCGTGGTTCTGGTGGTGCGGGTGAGGCGTGCCTCAGTTTACCAATGTGTCCTGCCCAGTGACAATTGTGCCTGAATTCTTTGTGAAAAATTTCATTGTTTTTGTGTGTTTTTTTTGGGGGGGAGGGGGAGGGAGGGGGGTTCTGAACAGAAAAGTAATTATTATTTATCATGCCATGGGTCCCAAGAAAGTCAGTGGCAAGGGTCAACCTCAAGAGAACAATTGTGAGGATGACCATAGAGCAAAAACAATGACATCATTCGTAAAAATGAAAATGGTATGTGGGCTGTTGAACTAGCTAGACAGTACAGTACAACAAATTATGTCAACAATATGTTCTGTAATTGCTAAGAAAAAGGACATTACGAGTGTTAAAGTGGCAAAAGGAGTACCTACCTTGTGTACCTTGTGTAGCGTCCGGGGATCAATGGACTAACAATCACGATACAAAGAACAGAAACATTTGAGAATGTTGAAGTTATTAATTTGGATAAACAACAAGCAGTTAGCAGGGGATAGCATTTCAGAGGCCATCATTTGTGAAAAAGCAA